ACTTAGAGTATGCTCAAAAAGATTTTTGAGCAAAATAAAAAATGTCTTTGTAAAAAAAATCTACTTTGATTTTCCCTTTGATGTTTTTTTAAAAAAAGAATTAAAAAAAATTTTTCATATTTTTTTTAAAAGTAAAATACATCGAGGGAAAACCCTTATATAAGGAAGGTATTATTTGTGTTTATGGATTTTTTTACTTTTTACCAGGGCTTAACATTTGCTCAAAATTAAAAAATCTCTCTTAAGTTCCTTGCCCTTCAAAGATAAAAAAAATGTGAAGGTATATTTTTTATTTTACCCTTAATTTCTCAGATGTTCTTTTAGCTAAAATAGCATAAAATGAGCATTTGAAGATTTATTTGCCCAAAAGAAATGTTGGTAAACGGCTCGTTTTGAGCCGATTTTTAAAAACAGCTAACTCAATATTTTTGCCAGAAAAATATTGACTAAGCCCCGAAATTTCGATACTATATGTCTAGACCTTTGCTCCTTCTATGAACAAAATTTTCAGGCTTGCGTAATATTTTTTTGGATAAAATACTGAGTTAGCCGTTTTTAAAAATCGGCTCAAAACGAGCCGGATATTACATATTTTATTATTTTTTTTATTCTAAACAGATATTTAGTATATTACAAATTGAGACTATAAAAAATTTGGGTAAATAATATTTTGAGAATATATTATATTAATTGTATTTATAAAAAAAATAAAACTGATATTTTAATTAATAAAAAATATAACATATATTATATAATAATGTATTTATTACCTATTATCCTTTGCGTATTTATTCCATGGCAGGAAAACTATAATTATATTATGTAATAAATACTAAGAGTGTTAGCTAGTGTTAACTTTCACCCAACATTATATTAATCATAACTATATATAATAATTATAACCATATCTAATTGACGAATATAATAATTCATATTGTAAAAATTTTTTAAAAAATTTTACCGCCCGGCCCGGGTATTTAAAAAAAAAATTTTCAGGCCTAGCCCTGATATATTTTAAAAATTTGCTGCAGGTCTCTGATAAAAATAAATAGGAAATTTTTATATATTCGGAACGTCCTGGAATACACGTTCAGGTTTCCGTTCCATAAATTTATTCAAAGTTCAGTTCCCTGAACGTTCTGTTCTATGTCCCTATAACAGATGTTGTATTTTAGGGATGTGCTTTGAAACCAAATTCAAGCTAAAAACGGAGAGAAATCGTTCTTCTAAAATATACAAATATTTTATAAAAAAAAAATTTTTGAATTGAATATCATAATATTTTCGATTTGTTCAATTTTACAATAATTTATAATTATTTTCAAATTATATTTTCTAAACTTAAAAATATTAATAATTATTAAAGTTCTGATTTTTGTCAAAACTTTGTTCAAAAAAATATAATGCTAAACCCCACAATTTTTAAATCGTTTAAAAATATTTCATTCTATATAAGTTTAGTTAAAAAACACAAACAATGGGGTTAAGCAACGTTTACATGACAGGATATTCACTGGAAACAACCCCCCCCCTCTAAAACCTATACCTGCCGACGGGAAATCCCACATTATTAAATACACGTTTTAAATGATGAAGGTACATCCTTTATATAAAAAAGAATAACATATATTAACTATCAATCAAAAAACTGTGAATGTAAAAAGTTATTCTTTATAACAAATTCTTTATCATAAATATGAGTTAGCTAATAGAATGCATAACCCTTTTGAATTACATTTAAAAGATAGCAGTAAATTATCCAGAAATAGGTTTTATTAGAAAAATAATATTATGTATATGTCGTATTGGGATATGGAATCATGTGGGATTCGAAATCCCAACGTGGGAATTCAAGATCTTAAATCCCCACGTTTTATTCCATATCTTTTTTTAAAAATATTTAAAAAATATTCCGAATCCCCATGAAAAAAATAATAAATATAATTACTTTTTCTTTTCTTTTTTTTGCGGCTGGCACCATATAATTAAAAGGCCAAAATAAGGGATTTTAAAAGAGAATTTAAAAAAAAGTAAATAGTATTAAATTAAGGCATATAATGAATGAAAAGGGATGAGGTTAAGACTTTTTTGTTTTAAAAAATATATTTATAAAATATCTGAATTATTGCAACAATTATTCAATGCATAAGCAGTGACCCGAACCGTTATTTATAACGGTTCAGTTTGGTTATGGTTCAGTATGTAAAAAATTTTAATGGTTACGGTTCTTGAGAAGAAATTTATAAAGGTTCGGTTCAGCTAATTATAAAGGTTTATAAAGGTTCATTACGGTTATAAATTTTTATTTTATTGAAGCAACATCATCTTCTAATTTATTTTTATTATAAGCATCTATGAATTATATATATAAAAAAATATATAAGATTCAAAATAACTCATTTTTAAATATATTATTTGAACTTATAAATAATATATTTTCAAGTATAAATGGATTCCTTTTTGTTCGTTGTGACGATAACACAAATTTTAGCCCCGAAAAAGCCCTTTATACAGAAACATATGTTGCGGGAACAGCCAATACTATAAGAGCACGTTTATAAAAAAAAATGATAAAACACTAAAATATTAAAACAACTATAGAAAAATATGTAAAAATATATAAAATTACTGAATAAAAATATATATTAATAGCATCGAAGGCTCTAAAAAGAACTTAATTTAATAATGAAAATAAGTATAATTGTGTTTAAAAATTTCCAATTGAAGTTTTTGTTTAAGAAATAAGGATTCGCAATTTTCGTTTGTTATGCTAAAAAAATTTCGTGATAAAGTTTTTTAAAAAATATGTAGACTGTGAAAAATTGCCGTTAGTTGAAATGACTATTGGCGAAATATAAAGTTATTTAATTTTGAATATTTATTAATTTTTTTATTTTCCCCACAAGTAAGAGGGTTTGTATTAATTGAAAAGGATGATACGCAGATTGCATCTCAAATAAGGGATTTCCCATTGGACCAGGGGGTGCAAGTTAAGCCATCGGATCTGATTTTTTTTTATAATTATACCAATATCAATATTATCAAAATAAAATTTAAAACAAATAAAACAAATAACAATTGCAATATTTTGAAGTTTTGGAAGCAGGAAAATTTATTTCCTTTTTTGAGAAAATTAGAGAGTAAAATCTTGTCAGCCCTGGCAAATTCGGCTTCTAGTGAAAGGTTATTTTCTGTAGCCAATCGCCTATTAGAGGAAAGGCGTTAATTGAAATTTTAAAAATAGACATTCTTCTTTTTCTAAGTAAAAATTTGGATTTATAATATGTATTTATTTTTTGTTATTATGGATTATGGAATTAAAGAAATAAATAGAATAAATTCAAAAAAGTGTAAAAAATTATAGTATTAAAATTTAGAAAAATTTAAAAACACCGTTGAATTTTCGGACGTGAATCAAAATATTGTTAGTGGTAAGCGTGAATGGGCGTGATTATTGCCACCGTGAGGGGGCGGGCCGTGAATAAAAAATTAGGCCCGCACCTCTTTTCGCTTTCTTTTCCTCTAATTTGTCTAAATTATTAATTTAAAAATAATATTTATTTTTTACATTTAATTTATATTAAAACCATTTTTTCGAGTATTTAATGATTTAAAGCATAAAAGTAATACATATTAAATATCTCTAAAAAATAAAATTTTCTGGTGCCAGCCAGGTGGCAAAAAATATAATTTAATTGTTTTTTTAAAAAAAGATTCCAAATCCCCTTAAATATTTTTTTTTTTAAATTTATTTTTGTTATAAATATCTGAACCATAACCGAACCGATATAATTATTTTTTGAAGGAGTAAAAAGAACCTTTATAAAAAACGGTTAAACCGGTTCAGTTTTTATATTTTAGAAATGGAAATAATTTGAATATCCAGAATTATATAAACGTGCTCTTATAGTACTGTACTGGATTTTAATATTTTTTATAACAAAAATGTCTTAAACTCATCCCTTTTCATTTATTATATGCCTTAATTTATTATTATTTTTTTTTTATTCTCTTTTTAAATCCCTTATTTTGGCCTTTTAATTATATGGTGCCAGCCGCAAAAAAGAGAAGAAAAAGTAATTATATTTATTTTATTTTTTCATGGGGATTCGGAATATTTAAAAAAAAAGATCCCGAATAAAACGTGGGGATTTAAGATCTTGAATCCCCACGTTGGGATTCCGAATCCCACATGATTCCATATCCCAATACGACATATATAATATTGATCGCTATTTAGAAATCTATTTATATATAATAGGTTTATATTTAAATTATAAATTATTATAGCAATATATTATTCATAAACCATTGAAAAATGTAATAAAAAACACTCTAAATAATTATGCTTCACCCTCGTCCCCTATTAATGCCTAATCCCAGACCCCTTTATAATATTTTGATGCAAATTGTTCCTGCCCCCCACCCCCTTTTGCTCATGTAGACGCCGCGATCAGGGCTAGGATATAAAATAAATAAGCTATTGTCGCCTAAAATTTTTCAGCATGGTCTATACACCGTCAGTTTTTTCAGGCAGCATCCATCTTGTTTTATCTCGCGAATGGGTCTATTTTTCAAAACGGTTCGATTAAGATTTTAGCTAAAATAATTTTATGTAAGCATCGAGATTTGGCAAATAGATGTCCAAACATTTCTGCAAGCTATTAAAATCTTCAGGCTTACATAATGTTATTTTGTTTATAATCTTAATCGACCCGAATCGGGCTTTTTAACAACACTAAAGTCTAATTCATAAAATATTATATAGTTTCAATTTATTTTTTATTTTTCTGAGCTTTAAATTCATTATTTTCTAAATATTAATTTATAACATAAATAATATATATTTTTATACACCCTGTATAAATTAATATAAAGGGAGTAACTAAAACGAAACATTCCCATGGTGTCAATTTGAGTTAGGACATTAACTATTTTATATTTTTGTAAAATTACAAATTTGTTTTACTTTCAAAATTATTATTTATATATTAGGAATATTAATAATGCGTATTTTCGAGTTCATGATATCGTTTATCTTTCGAGAATCTCCATGCTATCAGATAACAAAACGTTGCCACTAGTTTAGAAAGTGTTAAAATGCCATGGATCACAAATCGTAATTTATCAGTGTCGTAAAATAAGCATGAACCTTGGCGGTAGCAAGAACTATGTTTCCAGACTAAGCATGTTTTATCTATTAAGGCGCCAGTTATCAGAGGGCCAGGAAGAAAAGCTAATAAATACATTTATTAGTAAATATATGTAATCTTTGAATTGGAATGATCTAATAACCCTCAAGTTATATTATTTCACCTATCATTAAGATCACCACGGAAAATCGCCCCTTAAATATTTTTCAAGATTTCATAAATACAATTTAAATCTAATAACAATTATCACTCCTTCACCCCCCCCCCCCCCCCCCCATTCCCCTAACTCTTATTTCCAAAATATAAGTAAAACATGTCATTATAAACAATTTTTTAAAAATAAGAATTTATAAAAATAATGACTAGATATGTAAAAATTTGAAGCGGGCCAAAAATCGGAAAAAATTTATCCCCTCTCCTTTACAAAAATCTTGGATATGCATCTGTATATAAAAATTTATTATTATAAATAAAACAATCAGCTAGAATACAGGGTTTGCGCATATAAAAGAGAAACAGATGTAGAGCAACGCAAATTAAGATAGTTTTGCCACAAGGGAAAAAGACCAGAGGGATATATTTGAGAAAAGGTAGAAACGTATGGTAAATAAAAAACATAAAGGAACTTGGTAAAGCAGAATATGAGACAGAGAAGAATAGAGAGAATGAATCTGTGTGATAAAGGGATCTCTACAAATGAATGACATCATATTCTAAACTAGATAAAAAAAATATTAAAATACTTCAAAATTTTAATTAAGGATTTTGATTTTAATAACTAATTATTATTATTAAATATTATAAAATATATTGGTCAAAGACAAATAATCATTAAAGACATGTTTGTTGAGAGTCAATATAATATCTAAAGCAAATTAAAAATGCCTTATTTTTTATACAAAATTTTATACCTATAAGACTCATTAAAAAGGAAGAGAATCCAAGTGCGAATGGCTTTTCTTCTTTAGTAACACACCTAAGATAGATGAAATATATTATATAGACATATGTTTTTTTATAAAATTAAGTACTGTATATTTAAATGTTTCATTGCTAACGTTTTCATGATAATTTTAAAGTAAGGCATCAAGATTCACCCCCTACTTCAAACTTATTTTTACTTCCTCTTAAAACATCCTAAAATATGTATGGAGACGCCTCCCCCTCTCAGTCTCTTTAGACAAGACTGCCATACTCAAATTAGTTTAAAATTTTATAAGTATTATCAAACCTTAATTTGACCATTGTAACGGCTACTATTGAAGGAGCTGCTAAGAAACTTCCAAATGCCATTATTATCAAATAAGGTATGAATTGACGGCAGCCTCTTTTGCATAGTCCTGGAGTAGCGGAAGAAGGATTAGACAAACTGCCATTTAAATTGTTAATTTGTTTCTCTAGACAGGAACAGTTTGTATACGCCTTTTGGAAAGAAGCATAAATATATAAATATTTTACGGAACAATCTTGTATTTTTTAAAAATTATTGATCACTTACAAATCCTAAATTAGAGGTTTAAAAGATTTTGTAACTTTTTAAAATTTGATTAGATATGTGAGCTAAAAAAATGATCGCTATATCTACAAGGATATCTTTAATTAAGAAAAAAAGGACAACTGCCAACTTTTAAAGATTTTAATGTATAATTAAGTTATTAATTTTACTTTAATTTGTTTATCCCTAATGTAGCTTTCACAACCCGCAAAGCATGGATTGTAATATAAACGATTGTCGTTATTTCCGCACACAGGTTCGAAATATTGCAAATTGCAACTGCAATTTTTATTACAATCATTGGAAAAATTCCAGATTCTAAAAATGATCAATATATTTATTGCTGTCTAAAAAAATACTATTTTAAAATCACTCATAATTATATCAGTCCTCTACATAAATATTTATTATTATCAAAAATGTCTCAATGAAATGATATTTATTTATTTAGATATACCTAGTTTCTTCTGATATGTACCCGGATAATCTAATTGGTTCGCATCTAAGATTCATCAAGATAATAGCCTTAATTGAAGTTATTAATAGACCAATGATGGAAATAAGCAAGGCTCCTCTCAATTTTATATTCAATTTTTTCATTATATAACCACCTATCAATATACCAGTACTAGATGAAAACACTCCTAAGGCTCCTTTGTTATATTATAGAAATAATAACACTTTTGTTTTAAATAATTTATATAGATATGCTTGATGCTTTTGGGGCATCAGCCTCTTCACATATATCCTCAAACAGATTTCGAAAATATTGAAATCATATAATGTAACTAAAAATAAATTTTACATAAAAATGGAATATTACACAAAAATCTTGTCATATAACAATTTATTTATATAAATTTATTATGATATTATATGTTGATATTAATTTACTGATCTAACAAAATGAGCATGTCACTCAATTAGCATTAAACTTTTTATAGTAATTTTGGCCTGATATAGACTAAATTAACATTTCTTCAATCCCCCTATACGGCATCTACGTAGAAGTTACGGGGATAAATCAATTCATTCACAATAATTTCAATTTTTGAAAATATATATTTAAATTTTTGTAAATAATAAAATATTCGAAACCTGCAATGATATTAGCCTGAGATGCGGATATAGCGAATTGTGATTCCATAAATTTGGGTAAAAATATCATATAACCAACTATAGAATAGATACTTATACATTCACCAATGGTCGTGATCATGTAAACTGGATTCTTTAGCAAATCATTCACTGCTTTTAAAATGCCTTTTTTAAATATATATACATATTTTATATAGTATCCATTGAAGGTTTAAATGCTTTAGATGAAAAAAAAGGTTTATCGGAGTTAGCTGCGCTTCATAAATAAAACTTTAAAAAAAAAATTGTATTATTAAATATTTTTCCATTCAATTAAAAGAATAATAAAGAAGTTAAAAGTTTAATTCTAACATCAACCAAATATCCTATATCAAGTTATGAAATATGTCATAACTATATCAAACTTTATCAAATAAAAAAAACAATTATACTAGTAAATTTTTTAGTTTCTCGAACTTTAACCAATAATGTGTCACCATCACTTTTTTTGCTGAGATGAGTGTAAACTATGATTTTATTTCCATTAAGGCTCTCGAGTTTCTCTTTACGATCCAAAGAATTAATTCCTTGGCTTTTCATGTGCTTGGGATAAAACACGAGAGGAATCCCGATTACTATCTGAAGGCATATGATGAGACAAAAACCTAGCCACCATGCTCCTATCCATCTAGGGTCTCTTTTATCCAAGCCTGGGTCTTGAAAGTTAATTTTTTGATCGTATAAAAGATCATTAGTATATTCTTCCAACTTAACAAATTTTATTCTCATTCATTTTAGGGATCTCCCCTAAATTAAAGATTATTGTTATGGCGCACTATGCCAGTAAATAGTTACATATTGAAATGATATTTAAAATCAATTAAAATGGAATGAATTTGCATAAAGTCCAATGTCTGATGTAAAATAGTGGGGTCAGTATATATTAAACAGAGACAAAGGCCTGATTTTCACTCGGTTTGCTTTAAAAGTATAAGGTCAAATTTCACAATTTTTCTAATTTATTAAGATATATATTATTAATCTCATATGCTTGATGTCTATAAAAGACATATATCAGGTAAGGTTAGCTACAAAATAAATAAAAATAATAATATAAGCTTAAAAATATTATTTGTAGCATGTGACTATTTACCGATACCTTGCGTTCCATAACAATAGACTAAATTAAATGGATGCAAATAGTTATTACCTTATTCTTAAAATCCTTATATATTTTAATATATATTAACTCTTGACTTTAAACTATCCTATGTTTAAATCGGTTTTGGAAGATAACTTTTTGCTAATCTCATTTATTTACATTAGGAGTTTTTAAAATATACTTTTTACATTTAAATTAATACTACCAATATACCGATACACTTTTGCTTTTTATAGTACCAATATAATTTCAATTATCTCAATAAAAAACAGATTCTCAACTATAATGGATTTATGCTAGAATTCACACTTTTCACAAAAAATTGCCTACTTTTAAAAATGGCGAGTTAGCTCATAAATAGTACCGGGTTCAAACCCCTACTTGGATTAAAAAAATTCAGTTTAATTTTTTACTGAAACCAGTTGGATATTAGACATGTAGTCCTCCCCTACCCCTTCAATGAAATCAAACTGCAGTGAAGATTTAAATAAATTGACCTGATTTTTATCATTCTATAACTTATCGGATACTACCAAGTCACATAAATTAATAAATTATTTGTATTATATATCTCATAATAAAATATGGTATTTTTATAAATTACTATAACGATGCGCACTTCTGTCACTTTGGTGATGGGGTGGGGGGGGGTGTATGAAAGCAAAATCGTCATTAAAATTGAAGGTGTTGGGGAGTTGTGAAGGTGCTAACGTCATTAGAAGTTTTTAAAAATCGGCCGAGGGGTTAAATGGTTAATGATGCTTACTACCAAGTGAATGTATGGAAATATTCTAAATACCAACCTAATTTGCTATATACCGACCAAAATTTATTAAAATGTAATAAGATCCTTATTATTTAATATATTAATACGGAATCAAGTGGTCGAGTCCGGCCTCCTATATATTATCCCCCCAAGGATGGAACCACCAAGTTAGAATAAGAAAAAAACATGATCATTGCCGGGATTTGAACCCGGGAGAATGGGATAAGTAAACCAAGCTCTTGCCTACTAGGCCATAGAGGCTTTCCAAAAATCACGATTTTTTAAATATATATTATAAATATATTTGGTAGTGCCTATCTAAATGAAAAATGAACAAAATTCAAATTTGATAGATGGTACCTTAAGGTACCAAGCATCATTAACCGGGTTAAATATAGGTGATAGAATTTGTTTTTTAAAAAATATTTTGATTTTAATTTACTTTCTTCGTTAATTTTTATTTCCTTTATATGCTATTATTATTTATGATTTTTTTTTGTTTAAAAGAGTGGCGTGTGTATGTGAGAGGGGTTAATATTGCAATGGCTTATGGGGGTATGGAGGTGTCTGCATAAAGGTGAGTTTTAGCGTTAAACATCTTAATAAATATTTTAAAAGAGAGTTTTATTTCAACAATAAAATTCATAAAAACAATAATATATTATTATATATTTTTAAATAATGGCATTTACATTTAAAATGGCTATAATAATATACCTTTTAGGGTTTCGTGAAGTCCTGCGCACAATGCACTTAGCAAAAATCCAAAAACCGGACCTAAAGATCTCACACAAGATACAGTGGCTTGAAATATAATATGTTTATAATTCAATTTTAAATATGTTTGTGTAATAATTTATAGTTCTTATAACAACCAGAATAGTGACTTTTAAAATACCACTTCTGTGAAATTGATCGTAAAAGGTTGTCAAGCTCAGCATCTTTATTATTAGTTATTAAAGTTTGGTATGAACTCAAATTTTTATTCACGGTCCGTCCTCCCATGCTGAAAATTAAATCATGCTCATTTATGCCCATTTACGCCCGATGCTAAATATATGTAACCCTCTCGCTCAATCATGAAAAACAAAATTTTGTTAACGCCCGTAAAATTGATGAACTATTTTTAAATTACACCTGATTTTTATTTATTTCAACTTAATTGAATCGAATTAATATTTAAAAGGGATCTAAATATAAGTATACATTATAAATATATATGACTTTTAATAGCACATGAAACATGATAGTTGTATGACAAAAATCGCAATTTTGTTCATAGCAAGAATGTGTTGATTCAAATTTATTTTTCGATTGCTTAATGATTTCACATTCATCGTTTATATTATAATTATCTTCTGAAAAAATGTATGCATTATTAAATCAGGAGTTGGGGATTTGTTGTAAAATTTGTGTGAAAAATGAATGTTTATAAAATTTGAAAGAAATTTTAGACAAAATTATGCCTTTTTTAAAATAATTTAATTTAAAAAAAATTATATTCATACCCAATTTTACCCGAGTCATTCACTTTTACGGCGTGACCCAGCCTATTACGCGAATTATCACGTCCCGCGCCCAGTTCTAGTTCTTATATTATTATACTTAATTTGATTTATTATACTATATTTTAATATTTAATTGGAAAACATTATTAGTATTAATTTTATTTATTTTTTATTAAATGTTTTTAGTTCGTAAAAGTTCTTTAATTAAATTAGATATCATATCTATTCTCTAGATTAAGCCAGCAAATGATTTCAACCTTGAGGTTAAGGTAAAACATTATGTTCAGCCTCTGTTTAAGCAAAAAAATAAGTGTAGACTTTAACTAAGTTGTTTTTGAGTGAGCTGGAGTGGAAGTAGGTAATTTTTAACAACATCGCTCTATGTTAAGCCAAAAAAAGATATTAACATCGTGGTTAATCGGTCTTGGAGCCTGGTCGAGCTATAGACAATTGGAAAAAAATCACGGGTATATATAATATAAAACCAGCTAACAGATATTTTGTAATTAATTATTTTAAAATTAATTTTTGATTTGAGAAATATGGATAATAATAAATTTGCTTTTAGTCAAAATAATTCAAACTTAGAAGTTGTACCAAAAAATATATACTTTTAAAGTTATATTTTAAAATATTGTTTTAAATCTAATAATATGAAAAAACTTTGCGCATCAAAAAGATAAAATGCGAAATAAATAAAATAATGATATGGCCTTTTACAATTTGTATAATAAAAATAAAATATGTGGCAAATTTAGACAAAATTATATAAAAAATTGGCCAATATCTCATAATATTTCCTTTTTTGTTAATTTGTTTTTTAAGAATCAGTATTTTATAGAACTTTTTTATCATTTTAATATTAATAATATATTTTTATGGTCCCAGTTTCATACAATGACACATGTCATTGGTTTCATAATAATTTTTAATAGGCTCTATAAAGCGTGTATTTCATTATTCGATTCTAATTAAGAGCGATATAACAAAAGGCGTTATGTTGTGTTGCTAAATCACCTAGGACCAACTCTTTTATGGCTTAGCCAAGCTTTTAACCTAACAAATTAAGATAGGTGACAAGTGAGAAGATTTGTTGTGGGTTCCAAATTTCAATTTAATTTTAAACTGAAATATTTAATATTTTTTACTAAAAAGGGCATATAAAAATTTTATCAAACTTTTTTTAAAAATTCTAATTATTGTTAATTGATTTTCCAGAAATTAATCCATAATTTGTTGTATAAAGTATTAATGGTAGTAATGTAATTCAGTCACCTACTTTTAACTTTTTTGCATGCTGAATGACTCAATATTAAAGGTATCGCTCACGTTACCTTTTTTTTAAAGTAACGCCTTTGAGTTGATTTTTATTAATTTTTTCTCAAATCCGCAATGACATGTTGGATAAGAAAATTGTCGTTGATATAGCCCAAAGCCAAGCCATATGGAGAATAGGACACGTTTTAAAGACCCCGACTAGTTTTGGAATTAACAAGATGAAGAAAAAGAGAAGATTGATCTACAATTTATGAAATCATTAGTCTATCTTAATAATAGAGCCGCTACAGCAGAACGTGGCAAAAATTTAATTAGTTTTTTTTATTCTATTATATTTGTAGATGGGATGCATATTATTGGAAACATGTATATTAATGGCGATCCTAACCCGGAAGTAAGAGATTTTATAAAAAAATCAATTTCCTTCAATAGGTTTTCTTGGTCACACAATCATCTTAAAATAAACGGCAATAATTTGGAGCTTACCAAAAAAAACTCTAATTTCATATTAGAAAATGAAAAAGATACTAGTCAGTTATAGTTGTTAATGATTTACAAGATATATCAGATATTGTTCCATTTCAGAGAAATCTGGTAAAATAATAACAATAGATTAGCCAGTGGTAATAAAAATACACTCAATCTGAAGAGCATGTACACCATAAAGTGCAGGTCTAAGAAATAGTGAACCCGAATATTTTATTTCCTCAATGATGCTACCAGACCAATATAAATTTCGATTATATTAGCATGCATAACTATATTTGTCCGTTCTTATATATTTTTTTTGAAAATTTTTTATTTTATCATATTTTATAATATTTTTAGATTTATAAACCCTGAATTAATATGATTTTAAAAACTTTTAGATTACATATTGTGAGTGGGGTGATATCCCTCGTTTGGGAAGTTAAATTTATTTTTCATCACACCATTAGCAGCTACGGTTCCTTCTGCCACAACCAGGAAATCTCACATCTCAAATCAAGCTAGGAATATAGACGGTTCCTATCTTCCAGTTAGATCAGAAAGTAAAGGAGATGTTACAACTGCAGCACCTCTAAATATTAAGTCCATTCTGAATGGAAATCTTCGACATATGGGTGCCCCTGTCTTAATAAAAATTTGTATTGTTTTTTTATTTTCTACATCATAGTTGTATAACTTTTGTACCATCTTTTTCTCACTGTGATTTTATTTATAAAATTTTTTTAAAAATATATGTATAATGGTCTGGGACTATTCTTGTATTGATCCACTCGCTCCATCAAATCAAACAGTCAATATACTCGAGAAAAAGGAGACACTCAAAATAGCAAAATATTCCGAAATCTCTCAAGAATATATTTTCATCCCCATTATTTCCACTACCCTTACTACTTTTGGGAAATATGCCTTATCCTTTTTCAAGGAACTCGGCTCCCACATTCGTCAACTAACCGGTGAACCCCGCGAGGGATTCTTCTTAAGGCAAAGGCTCTCCATCGCAATACACAAGGCTAATTATATTAGCTTCATAAGCAGTCTCTCCCCACAAGATTATCCTTCCTAACTTCAATATATTTTTTTTTATTTTTTTTTAACACCGTCACAAACATATCCTCCAATACTATATTTATTTATTTTTTTAAAATGTTTTTTTATATGTATATAAATATATATACAAATATTAATTATTCATAGAATATATTTATTTGAATCTTTTGTTTATATAATTTTAAAATATATATGATTACATAATTTTGAAAAAAATATTATACATCATCTAATATATCATTAAAATTATTAGATTAGATTAATACATATCAATTATATTTTCACTATATATAAATCCAATCCTAGTTTTAAAATAATATAATACAAATGCACATATTGCTATTCAAAACGAGCGAACGATCCCTGTATAATGTTATGTATAAATTATTTTATATTTTTGAAATAAAATAAATATTTTAAATATACTGTGTTTTAAAGGTATATTTTTTACTGAAAAAATGGCTAAATAAGCTTGATCATTCAAAGATGAAAGTCTGTATGTATTTTCATTATTTTCATAGAATCAATAATGTGGGAGCAATCTATGTATATTATAAGTCTATGAATAGAATAAAATATTAAAAGCATTAAAATATCAGCATTGCTGGATATTCTATTTAATGCATAACAATAAAATGGAGAATTAAAATAAATATTTTGAGTTTTCTCCAAATGTTTTTAAAAAGAGGGACGTGGGACATGCAGGGCCATGGTCTGGGCTTAGATCTAAAAAAATCTGCTACTGGGCTTCGGACAGGCTTGATTCAACGAAAAATGTATTTTGCAGGTCTCTAACTTACCTTGTGTTTATTCTGCCTTTGCTTGCTTCTAATTTGTCGACCAATAATGTATAAATTTTTCTTATCCTATCATTAAATAAAAAATAAAGGCTAAAATATTACGTATGTCAGGGCAAAATAAGTAAAATATATTTTATAAAAGAATTTGAAGCAAAAATTATAATTAGTTAGTCTAAAAAATTTAAAAAAAATAATATATAAAGGATGGCTCTCGTCGCAGGTTTCAGGTCCTAAAAAAGCTTGATTAATTAATCCAAAATTTTGAGGCATTATAAAGAAGGTATTGAGTTATAATCTTGTAAAATTCCATGTAGGTAATTCCTTATAAAGAAAAGATTGACTAGGAATTTAGAATTTAAATCCACATTCTGAAAAGAGCGGGCGATTTTTATTAAATTTATTTTTATCAAATAAATGACAAAAAATGTTCTCATTGTTATAAAAACTTGTTATTATGAAAAGCAGTGGAATTCTAGAATGTTTGTTCGTTTATTTTCCCCCAAAGTTGTATTTTTAAAATGTGCAAAGTTTCATAAATATCATTTTAGACAAGATAAATTGACATTGATCAGGCATCCTACGCTTTCTTTTCCCCTCAAAACACTATATAAAAAAATTATAAGGTAATAATTTTTTAAAATAATAATTATAGAATGTTTATTTTTCTTAAAAAAATGTGTAAAACCAAAATTTTTTTTAAAAAAAAGGTAATCCAGCCAAAAGCTTTCAAAATGCCGGGCAGGCATATAGCTTTTGAGCAAAATTTATGGTGAAAAGACCACCCAAAAGTCCCCAACCCCTTTGCGAAACCCTGAGTACGACTATAGAAAGTTAGGAATTTCATTTGACCAATAGGAAAAACAGTTGTTAGACGTCATTTGCGAAAATGGTAGCCCTATTGAGCTTAAATTGCTGTAAAAATGTGATTTTAGACTAAATGCGAAATTTAAAATCTCACTTTTAAACAATTTTTTCTGCTGTTATTTAATTTAATATTCCCCGAATACAGTTGAACATCTTTCTTTAATATCTCAAGATTTTAGATAGATATTTTGGACTGTTAGAAAGTTTCAAAGTCAAAGTTTCTACATTTCTAATGACAAGTGTTAAAATACCACATTAAAATAAATCCAACTTTATACTCCTCCGAAAGGTATCAAAATTATTTATAATATAAAAAATATAATCGTCCAAACCCATGTATAGAGGCACAGATTTCGAGTCTTTAACATTGTCATCTATATAAGCCACACCAAGGGGTCCTATCCAACTTCCTCCTATCCCTAATATCACCTCTCCCACACTCATTACCACGTAACTAAATTGATTAAAATCGGCCTTGTTACATACTTTACCAATTTTTCCTCCTCTTTTGTGCCCTTTTTGACATATGTAATTAGACACATGAGTATCTTCCTTTGAATTGTTTCTCATCAACGATAATACCTCGTGATTAAATATAAGCGTTTGATTAAAAAAGAGACTTTCGCTGTTGTTACTTGAACTAGAATATGAAAATGTTTTATCGTCGGCAAAGGAAATTTTTTTGTAGTCATCCCCGGGTCCGTATATAAAATACGGCAACGTCACTAAGAAGACGCCGATGGAAAATAGAATCGTCCCAATTCCCAATATAAGAGGCTTCCTAGAATTACCCAAATAGAATGACGCCAGTATAACAAAGGGAACATGCCCTATATCATTTATTGACATTAGGAAGCCACTTTTTTTGCTGGGAAAGCCAAAACGCTTCTCTATACTAGTGACGGAACCAATAAAGTTGGTGTGGAACATAAGGATAGATAGAATAGCTAATGCGTAATGAATAGAGAACAGTTTAATATTGGCAAACCTCTGCAAGCATTTAGGGTAGAAGCTTCCTAGACCACACATGTAATCTCCCTTCTTCTTAGCCATATTTCTTCTCAATTTACTATGCAAGATACTTTTGTTTGAAATGAGTGATTTTTGTCTTCCTTCATTATCAGGCTCATCGTTAACCAAACTAAACACGTTCGTGGCACTATCGATAGCTAATGGACCGGGGGAGCTGGCTAACATGGCTATATTAGTGTCATCATATGAATCATCTTCAAAATATAAATCGTTAATCGTGTATGTGCCATTCTCTTGCAATTCCTCTTGCTCAAGTGTAAGTCCGTCCTCTCCTAATGCCTCCAATGATTTTATGCCTTCCTTTAAATTTTTGACATAATTGGGATTTGAAATATTATTGGACTTGATCCTGGGTGCATCTTCTTCATTATTAATATTATTTTGGTCGTTTATATTAACAAATTCGTTGGGTATACTGTTAAGAAAATCGAGTTTAAATTTGAAATCGGGAATCTGAAAGCTGCTTTTGCTAGATTGTAAAGCATAAATTGGTTTTTTGGAGAGCATTGATCGGTGTTATTTGTAACAATATGATGAATAATTTTAAATTTAGGAATAAAATCAAATCAATATATTTAGTTTACTAATTATTTTTAAATATAAATATATACACCTTGTAATATTTTGGAAATGAAATACTTTTCCCTCCCTTTATCTTAATTAATTGCAATAACACTTTACTTTAAAAACACATTTAAAAATAGAAAGAAATATTTAGATGTAACAAAATTTTTATGAATAAATTTTTACTTAAATATAAATATTCACATGATAAATAAATGAATATATTTTTCCCCTTGTTTTTATTAAAAAATTTAAAAAAATAATGACTTAGGGGGCCATCATAACAAAATATTTTTGTTTTATTGTCTTTCAACAACAATAATTAAATTAAAAAATTATTTTATAACAATCATAAATTTTGCAATTAGCTTTAGTCATTATAATGTAAGTTAGTTTTTTCTTTTAGAAACTAATATAATCTTTGACCCTTTTATTTGCACCATTTAATGTCTATCTAATGGTAATGGAAAATAAATAATCTTAAACAAGATGTCTTTTTAAATGTATGATTTTTAAAAAAATAAAAAAAATGGGTTTTAAGTTTTTGGTTAGACTAATTTTAAGAATTTAATCATTTACCGACGGGCTTTTAATGAATTTTTTGGAGGAAAAAGATATTAATATGCTTGATATGCATAAAATAATATTTTGCGCAAGTTACAAGGCCTACAAATTTTCTTAACAAGCCCGCGAGACGAACAGTGCAAACCTCTACACTTCCATTAATATAAGGAACATTCTTAGTTAAATCTTTATTCTTAAATAAAAAAAAAAGATTGCATGTCAATATCGCAAAAATTTTAGCGCGAAAGGTATTCATAACTTCTAATATTTACCGCGAAAAGTTATTATAGCAATTGAATTACCGTGAATGTAATATCGTGAATGTATTTACAGCAAAAATATTATAGTGAGCGAATGTAATAAAGCCAAATTGTTATCACGAATGTATTACAACAAATGAATTATCGCGAATGCATCTCCGCAGAAGCATAGCGAATGTATTAGCGCGACCGCTTTATAGCAAATGTTTTATCGTGAATAATTATTAAGAATGCATTATCGCGAATGCATGATCTCAAATGAATTACATCAGTATGAAAATTACATTTTTATATGAACCTGAAAATGAATCTAAAGTGGACTAGGTCAAAAGAATTTTTTTTGAAAATAGGGCTAAGGCTTTTGATTTTTTAAGCTCAAAAATATAAAAAGAATCTAAACAATAAAATAGATTTCTCTAGGATTAGGTTTTTATATTAATTATTTGTTTAAATATGTGTTTAGTTATATTTTTCAATTTAATTTGGGACAGGACAAGTTGAGACCTAAAATCAAAACATGGCTAGGCTCGGGCCTAAAAATAAATAAAATTTGGATGGAGTTCTGGCCGAAATAAATTAAATTTGCAAGGCCCTAATAATAAGTCCTATTTTAAACATTGAGACAAACAGAGAAATCATATATATTATTCTTTGACAAAATTTGCTTTATCTAGCGAGGGATTTAAAGATTAATTTTATTATTTCGGTATTTTGACAGTATGGATGTAAATTTTTATCTAACATTGTTTATCTAATTCAAAAATTACAATTTAGACATTTTTTTATAAAAAATTTGTATAAAGTTCTTTTATTGCTTAATCAAAAAGATAATGCCAAGGCTTATCACAACAAGACATGATACAATATTCAGCATCATGGGTAGTTTGTCGAATTGAATGACAACACATCCCTCTCTGATGATGAAATTGCTAGTATTGTGATTCAGGAATTGGGAAAAACAGTAGAGTAATAATTTCTTTAATTGATTCTTGTTAAGTTCTTGCTTTCAGGCGAGTCTTTTTTTTTATTAAAAATAATTTAACTCTTTTTAAAACAAATTATAGTATATATCCATTTCAGTTCAGTTGTTATATTTTATTAATCTGTCATAATTTTATCAAATTGGCGATAATAATCTCGAAATATTTTAAATTTTATCAAGTCTGCTTAGAAAATTAAGACAAAGTGTAGTCGTTTCTCCTAAATCATAAACTATAACAAAAAATATCTCAGTATTATTAAACAAATCTCATTATTAAATGAGATTAACTATATAAAATATCATACGATAATTGTGTAAATTAAGTATTTTATCAAGAGAAGATCTGATAATGATAATATAATACTAAGAGAAGAAAAATTGGAATGCCCAAGTTTAATTCCTAATATCTCTGGGAAAAGTGGAATATTCGTCCAGTTCAACAAGCTTTAAAGAGACCTCAAAGTACTGTCTCTGCGCTAATGAATATATTTGAAAAGTTAAATTTTGATAATATCTGAATTTTTGACTTTTCCGTTTAAATTTCGATGTATAAAAAATTTAAATTAATTTTTTTATTGAAAAAAACTAATATTTTAATTTTCACAAGTATAGTTTTTTTTAACTTAATGATCAACTTATCTAGGGAAACAGGAGACATAAACAATAAGGATGATGCCAATTTATACTTTTTATTAGTAAGTAACTATAAATCAATATAACACGAGTAAAAATATAAATTATTTATAAAATGTTTAATTGCATGAAATATGGGCAATAGCTTTAAAAATGTTAAAGAATTTGATAGTCCATAATTCGAAACATATCTGAAATCGTTTTTTTATATCTTCATATTTCTTTGAGAGATGCGGTTTTGTCCCCATTATGACCTTAAAAATATAAGGCCTTATGTCTTTGCATATCTTTTTGAATCCCTTTCCAAAGTGTTTGGTGAGAACATTTGTATAGGGATTGAACATAATGTCACCCTTCAACACAATTTGTTGTTCGGGCGACATCTTCTAACGTCGAATTGTTTTGTTTCATAATCTTACATGATAGAGAGGAGCTGCAAAATTATTTCGTTGCCCTATAAATATATAAATTTACAACAAATAATATATTTTTTTACTGGGATTTCTACGTCCTTAGGTCTTCTCAAAGTAGGAAATTAGCTCAGATGAGCCATTCAATTCTCCAAATATTTCTGCCAAGATATCAAATGAATTTCCAACATCATCCTCTGGGACATCTGCAAGGGCCCGATAAACATCTGTTATACAATCGAAAGTCTTCATTGTACTCATACATATCTTTTAATTTCAAATCATTTATTTTTAATAACGCTCTGTTTTAGATAAAAATAACATCCAAGGATATCTGCAAGTGGACAAGCTACCCTAGACGTATTTATCGGTGCCTGTTTGAAATCCACAAATCGGATGTGCCCCTGGTAATAATTGTTTCAGATCCTATAAAAAATTTAAATTATATCTCTTAAAATATATAATATGACTATGTTTATCATCCTTGCATATGTATGAGCCGTTTTATTTGGTAATAAGCACCAAGAGGATTCGCGCCCGGTTCAATTTGAAAGAGGTTGGTATATAGTTGGAGGAATATTTAGGTACAGTTTTAAAGGTACCACCACATATCCATATATCCGATCTTGGTAATCCTTTGAGCAGTTCAGTTCGTCCGTGTTAAATATTATAAATCTTAAATTATTATTATTCCCAGGCCCGAAATTGTATTTGAGCATATCCCTGGAACATTACAGACATATGAAAGTAAAATCCGTCGGGATTGGAGTCAATATAATGGTTGTGCTTGATTTTTTACGACGTCGTAATGATCGATAAAGGGCTGAAGTATTTGGCATAACCATCAATGTATTATTATCATAATTAAATAATGTAGTTGCGTGGACCAACGAAGGGCTAGAATACTCACTTAATCTTGATTTCATCTCTGATATAGCTTTTCTAGCATTCGATTTGGAAATGTCACCTTCATGAGTATGGTCAAGGGGACTTCTTAAAATATCATCAAATTTTGTTGTTATAAAAGAATTGCATTTTTGATATTTATATTCCGTGCACCTCCATAATATTGATATACTTTTATTTGTTCTAAATTTTGTATATTCATATTGATATAAGAGGGTAGGTTTATTTTTTGATGTAAATCCAATTTCTAACATTATAATTAATAAAAATATATTCTTTAAATATATAATAATATAGAAAATTAAGCTATATATAAGAGAAAAAAATATCATTATATTTATAGATATATATAAAATCTTAATTTTTAAAAATTATAAATCTTTGTGAAATAACGATTGACTTAAAAAATATCAATAGATAATTACATTTTTTTCAAGAATTCTAAAAGATAAGAATTTTTTTTATTGTTAATAATAAACATAACAAAAACACCACACTTAAATTTTCTAATTTTCTTATTTATAATTTTTAAATGTCGCGTGATAAAGTGTCGCATGATAGAGTGTCGTCGTGATAAAGTGTCCTCATGATAAAGTGTCCTAGTGATAAAGTGTCGCTGTGATAAAATGTCGACGTGATAAAGTGTCTCATGATAAAGTGGCACGTGATAAAGTGACTGCAAATCATTGTATACACGATAATACATTCACTATAATGCATTCGCGATAATGTATTGGCGTTATTAAATTGGCAATAATATATTTGCTGTAATGCATTCGCGATAATGCATTCCTAGTTATGTCTTCACTCTAATACATTCTCTATAATACATTCTTTATAATACATTCTCTATAATATATTCTCTATAATACATTCTCTATAATACATTCTCTATAATACATTCTCTATAATACATTCTCTATAATACATTCTCTATAATACATTCTCTATAATACATTCTCTATAATACATTCTCTATAATACATTCTCTATAATACATTCTCTATAATGCATTCGCGGTAATGCATTGGCTATAATGTTCGCTTTTGTTTTCGTTATAACACATTCACGATTATGCATTTCGCATAAAAAGTTTCGCGTTATTGACGTTATTGTAATTATTGTTGTTTTAAAAGTACTACTGAAAAGTAATTTTTACAATAATTACAGCAAGTTAAACAATTTTAT